AGAGATAGAGAGTTAGAAACATTGAACAGCTGTCTCCTGCACACCCCCTACTGGTGATGTGCCTGCAACCAAGGTACATGTCCTTGACCGGAATCGAACCTGGGACCCTTGAGTCCGAAGGTTCACACTCTTATTCACTGAGCCAAACCAGTTAGGGCAAGACTGGATATTTTTTCCATTGATTTTTTAGAGAGAGTGCAAGGGAGGGAGGGGGGAAAAGAGGGAGAGAGAGAGAAACATCAATATAAGAGAAACCATCAATTGGTTGCCTGTCACACCCTAATCAGGGGTGGGGATCGAACCTGCAACCCAGGTGCGTACCCTTGACGGGGAATCGAAGCTGTGAGGCTTTGGTGCACAGGCGGATGCTCTAACCACTTAGCCACATTGGTCAGGGCTACATGTGCTTTTTGAGCACCTACAGGGTGTGTGGCTGCGAAGCAGCTCTAAAGTGGATCGTAGCTGAGTGTAGGGGAGTCCACCTCTCCTCAGGGGCCAAGCAAGAACTGGCCCTGGGCCCTGGCTGGGTGGCTCATTTGGTTGGAGTGTCCTATACACTGAAAGTTTCCAGGTTTGATTTCCGGTCAGGATACATACCTAGGTTGTGGGTTCAATCCTTGGTTGGGGCATGTATGGGAAGCAACTGATGGATGTTTCTCTCACATCAGTGTTTCTCTCTCTCTCTCTCCCTCCCTTCCTCCCTCCCTCTCTCAAATGGGTAAACCTATCCTCCAGTGAGGACAAAAAAAAAAAGAAAAAAAAAAAGAATTGGTCAAGGCCGACTCGGGTGTGCAAGAGTGTTGGGCAAGGGAGGCCGCTGAGGAGGAAGGGTGGATGAGCTGGAGAGCCGCCAGCCCACCATTCTCCCAGTGAGGGTGTCAGAGGTCAGTGGAGGAGAGAGAAGAGCAGATTCCAGGAGGGGCTTCAGCGCCTCCTCCAGCCCCTCAGGCCCAGGCCCTGGAACTCCGCTCACTGGCGCTCCAGAGGAGCAGCTTGCCTTCGTTGAGGCTGTACCTGGTTGGGTGGGCCGAGGTTCGCCCTTTGGGGAAGCCAGTTGGTCCTGGGCCAGTGTGCTGCCCCTCAGGCCTGCGCTGGGGTTGCTGGGCTTACTGTCCTCCCCGGAAAGGGCCCAGGGCAGGCCTGGTGGTTAGAACTGGTGAGCATGTGGGTGTGACAGGCACCCTGTGTGTGCTGGCCCCTGTCACTGCCCTCCTGGCCACCCACCTTGTTCCCAAACTCATCTTCGGCCTCCCTTTCTGCCCCCGGACTTCCTGGCCAAACTGTCCTCTGTGGAGAAGGTCCAGATGTTTCCTAAGGCTCCTCCTGAGCTTCCCTAGGTGGGCAGTGTGACCTGACCAGGGAGGTCCCTCCCCTAAAGCTGGCCAGCCTCTCCGGGCCTGTGCCCGGTCGGCTTGGAAGCAGAGCTCTGGTGTTTCCCTGGCCGTGCTGGCTGCTGGACCCAAAGGCAGGCTGGCACCGAGGAGCCGTGCTGAGGGGGAGGTGAAACCCCTTCCACCGCCTGCCTCATTCCCAGCCTCTGCTCAGCTCCTGTGTTTACTCCTGACCTCAGGCGGGGCCCTGGGCCCTCTTGGGTTTTGGTCCCAGGAGACATTCTCCTTCTGGCCCAGTTGGCAGATTCAGCCCGATGAGCACTCAGGACGACCTTGCTGAGGGCCTGGAGCAGTGAAGGTGGCCCTGCCTGCTGGGAACGTGTCCTGGTCTCAGCCCTGCTGAGGGCTCTTTCCTCATTTGTAAATGGGTAGAATGCACAAACCTCAATGAGTTGGGGACCATTTAGCCAGTGAGAAACAAAATCCCCTCCAATCTTCTCTGTCAGATCCACCTCCCCCACCAAGTTCTCCCTCCTCTATCAGCTTCTCTCCCACCAGCTTCTCCTTCCCCCACCAGCTTCTCCTTCCCCCACCAGGTTCTCCCTCCTCCACCAGCTTCTCCCTCCCCCACCAGCTTCTACTTCCCCCACCAGGTTCTCCCTCCTCCACCAGCTTCTCCCTCCCCCACCAGGTTCCCTTTCCCCCACCAGTTTCTCCCTCCCCCAGGGGAGTAATTAGGCAGTGGACATTTGAATACCAACAAGAACAGTGCCTGGAGCTCCAATCATAAGCTGCCCCTATAGGTGTGGGGGCCATTTTGGGGGCCACCATGTCTTGGAAACCTATGTGTGCAAGGACATCTTAGGGAGCCCCCTCACATTATAGGGGGTAAATGGAGGCCGGGAGTGGGGGGAGTGGTTGTTCCCAGGACAGTGGGTAGTCTTCCAGCTGCTGGGGTGCTGCCTGAGAGGGCCCCAGGCTGGCTGGAACACGCTTCCCCATCAAGAGGAAGCTGTCTGCCCTTCACGGTTGACCCGAGTCCACTTCCTCCTCCTTGCCACCCCTGCCGCCTCCACTGTGAACCTCCATCCCTGATGCCCATGGCTGCTGTTGGGCCCCTCTCGCTGCTTTCTGTGCATGTCAGCTTTGCCGTCCTTCAGTGTCTCTCCTCGGCAGCCTGCTTTATTTCTGCCTCCTTAGAGCCCGGCCCAGGTCAGGAGGAGGTGTGATTGCCTGTCGCCTCCAGCCAGCACCTCCCAACCCATCACTGCTCTCAGGATCTCAGCTGCAGGCCAGGTGGCTCCCCAGGTGGCTGGGCTCCACACTGGAGAGCCCTAGGCCCTGCACCATGGGCATCCTCTCTGGGGTTAAGCTGGACCTGGGTAAGGCCTCTGACTGCAGCCCCAGGCCAGCTTCTCAGCCCTCGAGAGGGGCAGACTCGGGTGCGCCAGGTAACCCGGGCTCTTTGGAGGGTGGGCCCAGTAGATTGCTTCTCAGGATGGCTGGGGGCACCCAGGCAAGCTTCGCCACTACTCTTCCCTCTGTGCTGACTCAGCCAAGGCTGTCCTCTGCCTCAGATGTCCTCCAGTGTCATGCTCTGGGCCAAGGGTTTGTGAATTTCAGCTGCTCAGGAACTCAACCAAGGTTTGCTAAGTCTGCTGGACCCCGGACCAGCTGCACCAGTCCAGGTGTGAGTTTTGGCCTGGGGCACAGGTGGCCTGCAGTCCTGGCCCTCCACCCTCTGCAGACTCTGTCCCTGGCATCAAGCAGGTGCTTGCTCCTCCCTCCCCCTCACTGGAGCCCACACGATCAGCACTGCTCCCTGCCGTCCTTCTTACCCTCCTCCTTAATTCCTTCTCAGTCTTTTACCAGCACGCTTCTTCTTGCAGCAGACGTTCCTTCTGCCCCTGTCTCCCGGGGAGGCTGCCCAGCAGTCCTGGTGTACACCACCGCCCCAGGAGTGCCCGGGAATGACCTGCCCACTGCCGGCCTCTCCTCCCTGCCCCACTGTCACGGCCCAGTCACACCGCATCCTATTTTGCAGCAGGCACAGCTGGGGGCCAGAGGTTTTGATTGTCAAAATCTGTCCATTGATCTCCTTAGGCCTGGGGCTCAAGCTGGTGACCTGTGAGTGGGCAGAATCTGGTCCGAGTGTTTGCTTAGCTTGGGGCTTAAGAATGTTATTTTGTTCCTGTATGTGGCCCATGCTTGCAGTTCCCCATAGGTGTGCTCACCGTCTGTTACTGTGTAGCTAGCTGACCAGCTTCCCAGGTCCTCCTCTTCCTCCTGCCCTTCGGTTTGTAAGCCCCTCCTTTGCAAGGGCAGGGACCGTATCTGTCTGTCTGTCTCTGACCCCAGGATCCACGGCACAGGGCACATCAAAGAGCAGTGCATTTCTTTCTTTTTTTTTTTTTAATCAATCTTTATTGTTCATATTATTACAAAGGTTCCTCATTTCTTCCCCCCTCCACCAGGTTCCCACCCCTCCCTCTGCCCCCTCCCCATGCCACATTGGCCTCATCCATAGGTGCACAGTTTATGTTCAGTCTCTTCCTCCCTCCCTTTCCCCGTTAGTAAATCCCTTTTCAGATAGTAAATCAGTTACTCAGCATTTTCTCATATCAGTAATACCTCCACGTGCCCAATGATACACTTCACACAAAAGACATTTCCAAATAGGTCAACCAGCCTCATCCAGGCCCCACCCAAGGCACTCACAGATTAACACCCCAGCGCTATACTAACTCAACACATCCAGATCTAAGCTTTCATCACTTGATTCAGCAGACCCTCAAGTTCCCACAAAAGTTTCCAGCCATGTCTGAGAGGCAGCCGTGAGGCAGGGGCAGGCGAGGAGCGAGCTGTTTCGGGCCTGGCTGCTCCGGGCCTGGCCTCTGTTGCTCTGGTTCGTTCCACAACCAGCTGCTCTGGGTCTGGTCACTGCTGCTCCCGACCTAGTTGCTCTGGACCTGGCTGCTGCTGCTCCGGGCCTGGCCGCACCCGACCTGGCTGCTCTGGGCCCGGTTGCTCCGGGCCCGGCCGCTCTGGGCCTGGCCGCTCCCAGCCTGGCAGCTGCTGCTCCGGGCCTGGCCACACCCGACCCGGCTGCTCCGGGCCTGGCCGCTCCCAGCCTGGCAGCTGCTGCTCCGGGCCTGGCCGCACCAGACCCGGCTGCTCCGGGCCTGGCCGCTCCCAGCCTGGCAGATGCTGCTCTGGGCCTGGCCACACCAGACCCGGCTGCTCGGGGCCTGGCCGCTCCTGGCCTGGCAGCCGCTGCTCCGGGCCTGGCCGCTCCCAGCCTGGCAGCCGCTAGAGCAGTGCATTTCATTTATGTTGACGAGTGAGCAAATATATTGAATGGGGAAAAATGCAGAATAGTTTAATGGGTACAAAAACAATTATGATTGTAGGTACACAGAATATCTCTGAAGGACTCCTATACACTTGGAACCATGGATGCAGTGGAGAACGGAACTGTGCGGTTGGGTGATGGGATGGAACTATGATACCCCTGTTTCTTTGGAATTCAGATTTTACAATTAAAATCTTACCGATGACATAAATTAATAAGGTCAAGTCTCAGCATCTGAGGCCTGTCTTGCTGTGGGCTCACCCTGCCCTCCCAGCCTCGAGCTTACCCTAACCCCGATGTGGTCTCTCCTGTCCCTGCAGTGGCAGCGGTTCGCGATGGGGTCCCAGGTCTCCATGGAAGTGAGAGGCGTGCACGTGGTGATCGTAGGCGGGGGCTTTGGCGGGATAACGGCCGCCAGCCAGCTGCAGGCACTGAACATCTCCTTCACGCTGGTGGACATGAAGGACTCCTTCCACCACAACGTGGCAGCCCTGCGGGCCTCCGTGGAGACCGGTAACAGGCTCCTTTCTGGGGCTTTCCTGGTCTTATCACACTGTGACTTAGGTCCCAGTACCTACATTCAACCGCTAGTCAAACTCTGGAGAATCTAAAGGTCATTGGCCTTAAGCAGCTACCATATCAAGGCCCGAGAGTAAGAGGTGGGCTTCCCTGAGGCCTCTGGGCCCAGACTGGCACTGGGGCAGTGGATACCCTGGGTACACCACTGGCCCAGATGTGTGGTCGGGGGCACCCCTGTTGGTATGCAGTTCAGGAGAGGTTCTGGGTGGTTCTGTCTCCTGTGGGCAGCCCAGTTTTACGCTGTGGCCTCCTCTGTGTCCACTCCCAGGGTTTGCCAAAAAGACATTCATCCCCTACGCGAAGAGTTTCAAGAACAGCTTCCGGCAGGGCGTAGTGGTTGAGATCGATCTGAAGAATCAGGCGGTGGTGCTGGAGGATGGCGAGGTGAGCAGGGCTGACAGCTGCTGGTCGGACACCTGGGCACATCTACCTGGCAGCCCTCGGGCGTGAGTGGCCTCTGGCCCCAGCCCTGCCTGGTGCTGAGAACAGCTTCCTCGTAAGCAGAGGCCTGACCACAGCAGCCACCTCCCGAGCCTTCCTGTGCCCCAGGCACTGGCTTAAGCTTCACACGGTCTCCTGTGATGCCCGCCATGACTGGGGGAGGTGGTGTAACCTCCTGTCACGAGGGAATAAGTGGCTCTCCCGGGATCCTATAGTCGGGATCCCACAGCCAGGAAGATACTCAGCCGGGATTTGAACTCAGGTAGTTTCCTCCCAGAGCCCACGCTCAGAAAGCCAGTGTCCTGGACCAGCCCCAGGCTTGGCCAACCTACGTGCCCACTGGAACCAAAGGGTAGGCACACACTGGATCCACATCCCATGGGGGCAGACTTTCCCTCCATTCCTCTTCCTGTTCCTCAGCCCGGGTAGTAGCTTGGCGCCTGGTATACACCTCCAGTGATGTGAGCTCCACCAATGAGCTGCCACCAGCCCAGTCGTCATGTTGCGGGTCACCTCCAGTCTTGCCCTCTATTCTATCCAAAGCTAAAGGGGAATTGCAAAAAGGGGACGCAATGTCTGTCCTCAATGAGCCTTTGATTTTGTGTGAATCAATCCTACTTGGATTAATTTTAGGGCTGGGAAAAATCTCGGTTGGAAAGACTGCTGAGAGTCGCCTTGTTCTGTGGTTTTTGGGCCAGACTTTCAGAGCCCTGGAGGGTCCATGAGGGTCCATGGAAAGAGAGGGCCAAGCGGGACACAGACCTCCCCGTCCTCCTCCCGTCAGAGCAGCGCTGGTTTTGTCCACTTGATATATTTAGGCTCCAAGCGGGACCTCCCTCCCTCCCTCCCTCCCTTTTTTTCTTTGTTTTGGGGGCGCAGGGGGCAATTTCTCCTAAAGTACCTACGAGAGTCTAAACTAATTCCACATTGCAAGCTGGAATCCTGCTTACTCCCCACACATGGTTTCCCGTTTCCAGCTTCCCTGTCCCCACTGTGGGGAGCTCAGTCCTCATTTCCACGCTGGGGGCTCTGGCAGGAGGCAAGCCTGCTTCTCTAGGTTCTCCTGGGTTCTAGCACCTTACCCTCCTTGGCTTAACCATGTGATGGCTTTGCTCCCCGCCAAGGAGGGCTGCCTCAGTGCCCAGAGGGCTCAGTACCGTGGGCCTGGGGGTGGATGAGGAACCTGGGCCTGCCCTCACCTTTCTTTACTTGCCCCTCACAGACTCTGCCCTTCTCGCATCTGATCCTGGCCACGGGCAGCACTGGGTTCTTCCCTGGCAAGTTGAACCAGGTCTTCAGCCAGCAGGAGGCCATTCAGGCCTACGAGAACATGGTGAAGCAGGTGAGCGCCCCTGGCCCAGGCAGGGCAGTGAGCGCAGACTGAGTGGCCCCCGGAGAGCAGAACAACTTGGGGGACAGCAGGGAGACCCTAGGAGATGCTCAGGGCTGTGACAGCGGCTGCAAAGATGGCGAGTTATTAGAGAGACTCCTGGGAGGAGATCTTTGGATCTGTCATCAATGTCTGGACATGAGCATCCAGACCTGCTCATGGATCGACTGAGGATCCCACCTCCTCTCTCGGGGCTCCTGGTGGCACAGGGCCTTGTGGCTTAGAGATCAGGCTCGGTCCTTGCCCTCAGTCAGCTCTCACAGCCGTCCTGAGGTGGGTGGGTGCTCTGTCCCCTTCGAAGTGATGAGAAGTGGAGACCAGGGGAGGATCTCAGGGTGAGTGCTGCTACCTGCCTTGGCCAGGTCTTCCCCTCTCTGCACAGCTCTGAGAAGCCAGGAGAAAAGACACTCTTGTAGAGGTTAGGAGCCCAGCTTTTGAACTCAGACCTGGACCATGGTCATCTGAAGGCTGGGCAGGTGGTATGATACCTGCCTCTTGGGGCTGTTGTGAGTGAGCATCAACGGAGAAAATGCAGGGAGACACCCAGCAAGTGCTAGGCCCCGAGGAAGCACATTTAGGCCTCACATTTGGAAAGAGTTCTCTTATGGCAAGGACCCCAGTCTCCCCCCGACCCCAGAGCTCCCCTTGAGGCAGGGTGAATTGGAGTGGGTGTTTTCACATTTGCTTTTGCTCCAGGTCCAGTGCTCACAGTCCATCGTGGTGGTGGGTGGAGGCTCTGCCGGAGTGGAGATGGCAGCGGAGATTAAAACCGAGTACCCTGAGAAAGAGGTGGGCAAGCGGCCTTGGCTTTGACCTCTCAGTGGCCGGCAAGGAAAATCAGGAATTTGCTTAAGGCCTGGGAGGCGGAGCTCCCTTACACACAGTGGGAACTTGTGTTTCCTGTCTCCTGCTTTCTGCACTGAGGGATCCCCTAAAGTCCCTTTCTGATGGGAATTTTCCTGGACAGATAAGCCAGGATGTATCTTAGTTCAGTGAGGGGGTCTGTCATGCCTTCTGGTCTAACCAGGAGAATCAAGGCCAGGGGAGACCCCTTACAAAGATGAACTCGTGTGTCCCGTCAGTGTCCCAGCTTTGTGACCTCACTTCGAATCCCTCTTTTTGCTGACAACTAGCTTGGCCAAAAGCACCGTTAGTTGCTTTTTTGGTCTTGAAGAGACGGTAGCCTTGCCCTGGACAGCAGAGGGAGCCTGCGGTGCAGCCCCTCACTCAGGACTGGCCGGCACTGCCTTCTGCCCACGGGAGGGTGGCCCTGTTCCCTTTTAATGAGGGAGGGATCGAGCATCTGACTGCCACCCTGGAGAGAAAACACATCCTGGCAGCTGCGAAGGCTCAGCTGAGGGCTGAGCGATGATTGGTAATTACGGAGGCGAGAGCATGCTTGCAGCTGATGCCAGATCCACTTCTGAGAGCTGGTGGAGCCTGCGGCTGCTTCTCTTTCCCGAGGGAAAGGCATGTTGGTTTTGAAAAGTGAGATCAATATGGGCTAATTTAATTATACAGTTGTACTCTGACAAATTGTGGGAAATTATTATGAATAATTGATGTAAAAGTTCATTAATTTTGATTTATGGGGTAAAGACCAGTCTGAAGTAAGAAGGAACTCAGGAAAACTTCCATATGTTTATGATCCGTAGACACATAAGAGTAATAACAGCCACCGTACTGTATGTTATGTGCTTTATACATACATGCTCATTTCATCATTACATTTATTTTTTTTAAATTATCTTTAAAAATATATATCTTTATTGATTTCAGAGAGGAAGGGAGAGAGAGAGAGATAGAAACATCAACGATGAGAGAGAATCACTAATCAGCTGCCTCCTGCACACACCGTACTGGGGATGGAGCCTGCAACCTGGGCATGTACCCTTGACCGGGATCTAACCTGGGACCCTTGAGTCCACAGGTCAACCCTCTATACACTGAGCCAAACCAGCTCGGGCTTACATTTATCTTTATTGTAGAAAGTATTACAGATATCCCCCAACCTTTTTTTTTCTCCATTGACCCTCTCAACCCCCCATCTTTGCCCCCATCATTACATTTCTAGGAGTGGGACCGTGATCCTTCTTACTGAGCTGTCAGGTAGTGTCTGAGTATCCAAGATGGATTTCAATCCAGGCAGTCTGATTCCGAAGCCCAGGCTTTGAGTACCATTCCAGGCTGCCTCTGGCTTCCCTGTGCTGACCCACAGACTAGGAAGTGCTACCGTATTATCTGGCGTATAAGATGACTTTTGAAACGGAAAAACAGTCAACTGAAAATCGGGGGCAAAAGACCAAAATTGCACAAAAATTACCTGCAGATCTTGACGGCAAAGTAAGTCTTTTCTTTGAAGTGGGGGGTAGTTTATACAGCGAATATAGGCCTAAACCTATGTTTTAACTGTAAAATTAGGGGGTCGTCTTATACGCCGGAAAATACAGTAGTTTTAAAACCAGCTTTAATGTAAATGTCAGGTTACCATGTCAATGGCTTATATATGACTGTGTGACCATAAGTGCCCAAGGACGTTGGAGATAATTTTCCACGTGGTTCTCCGTGTGGTTGTGGCCTGCTGGCCCATTCTGAGTCCTGGACCAGGAACGTGGGCTCCAGCCCAGCTTGCTGTGAGCTGGTTCCAGTGTTGGGCAAATTGCTTCACTTGGGCCCCAGTTCCCAAACCTGTGACCTGAGGTAGGGGAGGAGGTGGGGGAGGCAGACCAGGTGTTTTTGAGCCTCTTATTGTGTGCAGGAGGCTCAGCGGCTCCTCTGTCCTATGGTCGTTTGTCCCCAGGTCACTCTGATTCACTCCCAGATGGCCCTGGCTGACAAGGAGCTCCTGCCCTGTGTCCGGCAGGAGGCAAAGGAGATCCTGCTCCAGAAAGGCGTGCAGCTGCTGCTAAGTATGTGCCCTCCCCCTGGCCCAGTGCGATTGGGCTCGAGGCTTGGTCACTGCCCTCAGCTAGAGGGTGGCCACGTTCTCTGAGTCCTGGGGTTGAGCATCAAAGCGCATTTTAGCCCTGATGTCCAGCCGGAGGTTGTACCTGCCCTCGGGCAGGACAGAAGCCCTCATACTTACGGGATTTCATGTCACAGACCAGCACTGTCCTGGCTATTGGTTTGGACAAAGTGCAGTGGTACCTATTTGTTGAATTATTTTTAAAAAATCATCTAAAGGATTTTACCTGAATTATGATGTGTCTGTGATGGAGAGAATAATTTTTTGGTTTGTATCTTGAGGGTGGTGAGGGCGTGGCATTTGTCCAGAGCAAGAGAGAAGAGAGCCACCCAGCAGCTAGCGAGCGGGGCTCTAACCCCAAGGTGTCCTCCACACTTTGTGGGGCTCAGCCCCTTCAGGGAGGGGGTGGTGTCTGCTCTGTGAAAGCCTGGATGGCTCTTGTCTCCTTGCTCCTGGCTCTGCAGTGCTGTGATCACCTCTACATTTAGGCAGTGAGGAGGGTCGGCTGGCTTCACCTTTGTCTGGAGGGCCTGTCCTGCCCGGGCAGGTGGGCATAGCTCATCATCGGGGAGGCATGTTGGAGGTCTTCCTCCAATGGCTTTTCCCAGAACTTGGGAAACTCAGCCTCAAATTGCTTCTTGGAACTTTCCTCCCATCGTATCCCTTGGGGCCTGGTGTCCGGATTGTGCTTGTGGGGGTAGCAGGTGGACTGGGAGAGGAGCAGGGCGGGAAGGGGAAGTGGAGTCATTGCCTAATCGGGCTACAGCATCCAGGCCTTTCCTGGGGCCTTCACGGGTCTCCAGACTTCCCCGGGTCAGCGTTGGCGTGGACCAGCCTTGTCCACCCTCTGCCAGCCTCCTGTCACACACCTCCCTTGACAGGTGAACGGGTGAGCAACATGGCAGAGCTGCCTTTCAACGAGTATCGCGAGTGCATCGTTGTGCAGACGGACAAAGGCACCGAGGTGGCCACCAACCTGGTGATTGTCTGCAACGGTATCAAGATCAACAGCTTTGCCTACCACCGTGCGTTTGGTAAGCAGGCGTCAGAGCCACTGTCCACTCCTCAGGCTGCCTCCTCACTGCCCAGCGTCCAAGCCCCCTCAGGCCTTTCCCCCAGGAATCGGCACCCCCTGCCTTCCCCTCCATCCCAGCAGCTCTTTCGTCTCTTCCGAAGGGTGACATCAAACTTTAAGTTTAGGTTTAGGTTCTCTCTTGCTGGCCTTTCCTCAGCTGTGATAATGATGACTTAGTCCAAGACGAGAACAGGTTTCAGAGAGCTGGGAAAGGTCTGCTTTCTGATCCTGTCCTTGGATCACGGATGCAGAGGAAATTCTGGGGTCAGGCCTTTGTCTGTTCACAGGGGTGCTGCTCTCCCCAAACCCTGACCCAGATGTTGGGCCACTCGGGCCGGGATGACCATTTGGGGAGTGGGGGCAATATTGTGGCCTCATGTCCTTAAAGCTCAAGATTGGACCATCGGGCTGATTGAAACATCTGGCTGAGGGACTCGTGCCTGCATGTGTGAATGGAGACTCAGTGGCTCCTTGTTGGTCAGGCCCCGGATTGCTGTGTCCTCAGGTTCCCTCATCCCATTTCCTGCCCGGGGAACCCCTCCTCTGTGTCTGCAGGGGAGACTTATCCAACCCCAGAGGGAGGGAGCTAGTCCAGGCCAGGCATGCAGGTGGAACTGAGGGTTAATGGACAGGGAGCCCAACATTTAACACCTAATTGTCCTAATGATATACTTCAAAGATGAACTTTTAAGTCCCTTAAAATGAAAAGTTTATCACTTATTAACGCCCTGCATTTATTTTAAAAAGCTGATCCACATACAAAAGAAAATTCAAGACTTGGCCAAGCTGTGAACGTAAGCACTGTGCTAATCATGGCAACTTACAGAGGCATGCACGTTACAGAGAATGGCCCTGGCTGTCCTTCTGGCCCGTTTCCATCCGGGCTGGTGACCTTGCCTCTGCAGGAGGCATTCTGAGGAGGGGCTTCAGGCGGAGTGAACTGGGGGTGGCTCGCCTCTGGAGAAGGTGCCTCTTTGGTGGCTTGACCGGCACCAGAGCTCCTCTTCTCTGTGCTCCGGGGGCCCCTCACCATGGCGGCTTAGGGTTTTGGTTTCCTGTTGGTTTTGCCTGGCAGATAGTGGACTGGCCAGCAATGGTGCTCTGAGGGTGAACGAGTACCTCCAGGTGGAGGGCTACAGCCACATCTACGCCATCGGCGACTGTGCTGACGTGAAGGAGCCCAAGATGGCCTACCATGCCGGCCTCCATGCCAACATCGCCGTGGCCAACATCATCAACTCCATGAAACAGAAGCCCTTCAAGGCCTATAAACCAGGTGAGGGTGTCCCACGTGCTTCAGTTAAAAAAATTAAAAAAAAAAATGATTTTAGAGAGGAAGGGGGAGGGAGAGATAGAAACAATGATGAGAAAGAATCATTGATTGGCTGCCTCCTGCACACTCCTACTGGGGATCCAGCCTATAACTCAAGCACATGCCCTTGACTGGAATCATACCTGGGACCCTTCAATCTGCAGGTCGAGGCTCTATTCACTGAGCCAAACCAGCCAGGGCAACTTTTGCTTCAGTTTTAAGTGAGTAGGGGTTAATCATGGTCAAAGTCTTTGAGATGACTGACCACTAGTACCGAATTTTTCTTTTTAAAATGTTTTTATTAATTATGGGAGAAGGAGAGAGAGAAAGAAACATTGATGGGAGAGCAAAACATCAATTGGCTGCCTCCTGCACGCCTACCGGGCACTGAACCCGAAAGCCCGGCAAGTACCCTGACCGGGAATCGAACCTGCAACCTATTGGTGCACAGGACGACATCCTACCCCAACGGCCAGGGCTAGGGCAGACTTTCAAAGCTGGCGGCAGGAATACTCCCTAGAGCGCTTTAATAATTTGTAATTGATAAGTAAATCTGGGGATTGCCTGCCACAGATGGTGAGCGGGACTCTAGCTTGTGCCTCTGCTCCACAGGTGCGCTGACGTTCCTCTTGGCCATGGGCAGAAACGACGGTGTGGGCCAGATCAGCGGCTTCTATGTGGGGCGGTTCATGGTTCGGCTGGCCAAGAGCCGGGACCTGTTCGTCTCCACGAGCTGGAAAACCATGCGGCAGTCTCCACCCTGACGAGGAGGCTGGGCCGGAGACGAGGCACCACCGTCACCCAGGAACGGATTGCCTGGCAAGTGGTACCCGCCTGACAGCAGCCAAAGGGCACTCTTTCTGGAGTGAGATGCCACTGATGTACTCACCAGAAACACAACTTACTGAAAATCAAAAATGGAGAGGAAAGAGAAAGAGAGAGGGAAACGGAGGGAGAAAGACGAAAAGGACACCCCCTAGAGGATTCTTTCTGGGTTTGGCGAGGCCGAATGCTTCACTTGGTTCTGGGAGTGCGAAGCCAGCCTTCTGCATCACAGGCCCCCCTTGGATGTGTGCTTGTGCAGGCTCTGGGTCTCCTGAGGGCTGGCTTCCTGTGTGTAGGGCGGGAAGGAGGGCCTGCCGAGTGAGACCAGCTCAGGAAGGGGGTCTCGCACCCCAGTCTTGCCCGTTCAGAGGGCGGGCAAGCCCACACATCCTGCAATACTCCAGTTGTCAGTGGGAGGCCGGTTTTAAACTGTTAGTCCCGGTAGTCTTTAATCTTAACAAAACTTTCTATATTTCAATTTTTATACCATATATGCTATGATTCTATATCACAGGTTATATTTAAGAAGAAAGAGGTAAAAATTTCCCTGTTGGTTGGTCCATGCTAACAGTGAGTTTTTACTAAGCTGAGGGAGTTAAGAGTGAGACCTGGAGGTGCTAAGGGGAGGCAGCCGAGCTGTGAGGCCTGTGGAAGGGTCGCCATCGGTTCACATCCAGGGAGCAGACAAGCCCGTGTGCTTCCAGGCTGCTGTCACGAGCAAAGTTACAAGTGAAAAACTCCTTTGTGGTTTTGTGCTTCTGGCTTCTTGGCCAACCCTAATGTCAGTTATCTGAAGTCCCGGGCTGGTAGGGAGGATGCCTGCCAGCAGCTGTGCTAAGGGTTTACTGACTCCTCTGCTTGGGAGAGAACTTCAATCTGGAGGAGCCTATTTGGGACCCCGTAAGTTCACTCTACAGCAGAAGTGGTTGATGAGTTCATCCGAATAAACTCAGGTTCCTGCCCTGCCCGGCCTGCCCCTCCCTGCTTACCTTTGATGTGGCCTCTGGCTACTTGGCTAGAGTCCTTGGACACCAGCCTCACGGGGCTCTCACTGCATCCCGTCTGGGCTGTGGCCTGGGATACTGAGACATGTGCCTCTCCCCCAAGCACGGCTTCCCCACGGGGGCATCGCCCAGGGCTGAGTTCCTATGGACCAAGGCCAACGACCCCCCCCCCCCCTTCTGGAAGCAGGACCCGACGCCTGAGAAACAGGCCCTTCTGTGCTGTCTGACCTGGGACCTACCTAGCATGGCGGGAGCCAAAGCCCACTGGAGACAGGCCTCATTCTGATCATAACATTCTAGACGTGCCCACACCCATGGGGACAGTTTTCCAAACAGGAAAATGTTGCAATAAAAGAATATGTTGTAAGAAAGACACTGAATCTTTTATTTTTTTTTTTTCCTTTCATTTTCTTTTTTCTTTAAAAAACAAAACAAAACAGAAAAAAGCCTGGAGTAAATCCTTCTGAGGAGTAGTTACAGGTATAGGGATCGGGGGGGTGGGGGCTGGCGGGGCACTAAGAAAGATAAAGCACCAGTGAGATGCCTTTCTAATTTTCTCCTCCATCACGGAACACAGAGCGCCTCTGAGCAGAGCCCGGGCCACTCGGACGCCCTCCTCCCTTGCAAAAGGAGAAACAGAAGACAAGAATTTTGAAAGGATTTTCTTGGTGTGTGTAAAAGTCAATGCTATAAATCTAAAATGAAGTCTGTATTTTTTTTTAAAAAAAGTTCTAAAACAACAGGAAGAAAACACATGGGAAGAACCCCCCGTGGAGACCTGGTTTTAGGACGGAGGCTCTTTTTAACGAGAATATAAAATGCAGAGGCTCCTTCCGCGGGCGGGACCTGCTCCCGCAGCCTCTGCCACCCACTCCCCTTCAGCCGCCCAGCACTCCCTCTCTCTCTCCTTTTGAAAAATAAAACCTGCTCCCGTGACCGGTCCTCCGGCGACTCCGGTTGGCGAGGGCAGCCGTCCGGCTACTTGGTGTCGAGCTTGGCCATCTCCTGCACGTAGATGCCGATGCTCTCGCTGTCGAAGAGCAGGAAGTAGACGTTCTTCAGCGAGGACGCGCTCGAGTCGTCAAAGTGGGCCGAGATGGCTTTGAGGGTCACCTGAGCGGCCGTCTGTTTGGGGAAGCAGTTTCTGTGCCGAAGGAAAGGAAGAACCCAGGTCACTGTGGTCCCTGGGACCCATGGAGTCACAGCCCCGGGCGGGGCAACGCGGGCCCTTCTTATCTTGGCCCTGGCGCTGCCATCGCGTGGGGTCTAACCACGTGCAGGCTGGGCCACGCACGGCCTCCTTTGATGCCAGTCAGAGCAACAGCTGGGTGTGAGGGGGAAGCAGGGGACCCATACATCACCTTACAGGTGCCACACGGACGCAGGTACCGTTTTTTTAACCAGGATCATAGGGTGGACCAGTGAGCGGTGCCCTGAGTTTGAATATGTAGCCCAACTTAAGTCAAGCTTGGCTTTACACACACTACCAATGCAGCATTTCAAACCCCTGGTCTTCAAAACGGTACATAAAGGTTTCATTAGCTCCCTCAAAACCAGTTTACATGGTGGATTGTTCATCAAAGGGCAAAAGTAGATGCTCAAAAGCTTGTGTTCATACTTCCTTTTCATGCACTTAATGTTCCTGTCATCAGCACAGATGTGCGGATGCCACTTCAGCAGCAGTGGCTTACAGAAACGGGTCCTCCCCTCTTCTAAGCCCCCAAAGCAAACCCTAGGCGAGAGCTTTTCCTCTCTCTGGGTGGGCATGTCACAGCCCTGGCCCCTGGCCTTCCTTTCACGTGTGTCCCCCCTTCCCTCCCCCCAACACCCAAAGCAGCACAGGATCCCCGTGAGTAGCAAGGCCTTCAAAGCCTGGTGTTTTCTGCCTCTCACTTCTCTCCGAGTGTTCCAAAGGATGGAGGCGGGTTTCTCGCCCCATCACCTGGCCGGCACGCCTGCTGCGCTGGCAGCCTCCGGTCCTGCCTGCATGAGGGTGGGCTCTGCAGTCCTGATCCCATCTCTCCGTGCCCCACCATTGAGTCTGTCTTGCCTCTTAGGCTGTGCTTGTGGGCAGGAGAGGGGTTTATTGCTTTTGGGGCCTTGGCATCAGGGCAGCACCTGGCGCTGACTGGCCCGTAGCTAACAGCAGCCTTTCGGTGGATGTGTAAGGGAGAGCACCGGACCCAGGGAGAAGGCTGGAGCTCCCCGCCCGCCCGCCTGCCCGGAGGAGCCCCTCCTACCTGCCGCTGGGGAAGGGTGGGAAGGCCACAGACTTGAGCTTCTTGTCCTCTGCCGCCGACAGGCAGTTTTTGATGGTCTCTTCAAGCTGCTCTTCACATTTGTCGGAGCCCCACTGAGGGATATGACAGTGGATGACAAATTTGGCTGCAAGTCCGCTGGATTGGCTGACGGCAGCTGGGACATGGGAGAGAAATGCCGCAGGTTATTCCCTAGCCTTCACCGTAAGCCAGGGGGTTAGGCCGAACCCCACATACACCTGTTAGATGTGTGGGGACAAGGAGGCGACAGAGACGCTGACTGGACAACCTTCTGTGCCTTCGGAGGGGACGGTAGGTATACGGAGCAGGAGCTGTGCCGGCATGCTCTGCTCTGACAGTGGACACAAGCTCCTTTAAAGCTGATGGGGCACCACCTGACTTCCTGTGTCCTACCAACTAGTCACCAGGTGGGGCTACCTATTCACTGGGGTTCCTGATCCAGGGTGCACATCAGGGTCACCTCTGGGGCAGTAGGAGGCTGCGGAATGGCCTCCCCAGATGTCCACACCGAATCCCTGGAAGCTGTGCATGTCATCTCCATGGCAAAGGGGCTTTGCGATGGGATTGAGAGGGATGTTGAGATGGGAACACAATCCTTTTAAGAGGGAGCAAGAAGGTCAAAGTAGGAGAGGATGATGTGTTGGTGAAGCAGAGATGGGAGGGCAGTGTCCAGAAGCCAAGGAACATGGCAGCCCAGGACTGGGAGAACAAGGAACAGCTCCTCGGGGCAGGAACGGCACTGCTAGCACCTTGGCTCAGGAGCCTGTGGGCTTCTGATCTCCAGAGCTCATAGAGAATAGATGGGTGTTGTTTGAAGCCACGAAATTTGTGGTTATTTTTAAAAATATATTTTTTATTTCAGAGAGGAAAGGGGAGACAGAGAAAAACATCAATGATGAGAGAGAATCATGGGCTGGTTGCCTCCTGCACACCCCCTACTGGGGATCGAGCCTGCAACCCGGGCATGTGCCCTTGACCAGAATCAAACCTGGGACCCTTTGGTCCACAGGCAGACACTCTATCTTCTGAGCCACATCCACTATGGCTTCTGGTAATTTTTTATAGCAGCGATAGGAAACCAATACAGTGGTTTTTAGACTGACCAATAGACATGTCCATTCCCACCCTGAGGTCCCAACTCGGCAGGTCTGGTGTGGGCCTGTGCTAGTGACTGGATCCTCCGTAAATCGAGAGCCACACCCTTGTGGTCCTAGCATCAGGGCAGCACCTCGCACTGACTAGATGGTCACTGGGGGGTGTTGTGGGTGGGTTAGGGTTAGGGTCAGGGTCAGGGTTAGGGTTATCCAGATACTTTATGGCCCCTAAAGGACATGACATGATCCACCCGCAACTCTTCAAATTAAGAAATAACCTTCTGATGAGGTATGGCATAGTTTACTTTGCAAAATGAGTGTGTGGAGCATGCACTGCTGGGGAGGGAGGTGGCGAGGCTGTGCTGGGAACACGGCCCAGTTCCACACTCACCTTCAGCCACTTCCAAGGGGCCCTGGGACTTGCGTAGCTCCTTCACCGTGTCCAAGAACTCTTTGCCCCCAGCCTTTTCCAAGGCCTTCCCTGTGAAGGAGAACAGGCGGGAGCCACTATGGCTTTCTTTTCAGTGCCACCAACCACACTGTCAGACACGCTTTGACTGGCCAGAGCGAACAAACAAACAAACCGGACTCAGTCGGAATAAAACTTTGCAACTGACATCCTGGTTTTCCAGTGGTCACCTGGGACAGGGGTCTGAATTCTGTCCATCGGGACTTAGATTCAACAAACTCTTCAAGGACCTCCTTAGGGGGTGATTTGACCATAATGCGTCTCCTGACAGAAATCCTGACTTTTTTTTTTTTTTTTGAGGCTCCAGTGTTCTGTTTCTGGGCTCAGTACCTGTTGTGTTCATTTAATTCAATGCCTTGATTTGATGACCACCTACTGGGGAGTGAGCCCACAACCTGGGCATGTGCCCTGACAGGGAATCGAGCTAGCAACTTTTTGATGCAAAGGATGACACCCAACCAAATGAGCTACACCGGCCAGGGCTGAAATGGTGATCACTGAGTATGCTGTTATTTCTTATGCCTTTAAAGCTTCCCTTCCCAAGCTCTTCTACCTAGCCTGGTAACACCTCCTGCCTTAACGACAATGGACTTGTCCTAGGTGTCCATTTCCTTTTTATCAATGGTTTTCTTAATAGTTAAGCTTAAAACATATGTAGAATTTTACCAAAAACACGTACAACAATGTTTGTACCAGTATGACTCATTATTATCTAAACCAAAACCACCCAAATGCCACCAATGGTAGAAGGGATCAACAAATTTGAATATATATTCCCACAGTGGAATACTATACAGAAAAGAAAAATGAACGGACTACAACCATACTCAACAATATGAGTGAACTTCACAAACTCAAAGTTGAGCAAAAGGAGGCAGACACAAAAGAAGACATACTGCATGATTTCATTTATAAAGACTCCAAAACAGGACGCCATCTGTGCTGTCAGAAGACAAGATAGTGGTCACCCTTGGAGGGAATGGAGACTGGGAGTGGGGAGAAGGGGACTTCTGAGTGCTGGTAAGGTTCTGCTTCATGATCAAGGTGCTGGTTGCAAAGATGAATTCACGTTAAGAAAAATTCACCAAGATGTGCACGAATGATCTGTCTTTATATAACATTTCAATGAAAATTTCAAAAATATATGCAGATTTAAAACACAATTACTCTCCAGTAATGTTGTTCAGCTACATACAAAGGAGGTCCCCCAAGCAGGGGACAGCCAGCTGACAAGGACCTACCTCACAGGAGCTCGCCTGAACAGCGGGCTATCCTGTGGCACCTCTACTCAAGTTGGGGGACCTTACCTATGTCTTCTTTGAGGTCAATTTCGGCTGTGGTTGGGTGGACAATGCCCTCCACTCTCATGGAGCCAATATGGCTGATGTCACTCTGGGTCAGGGACAGCTGCATTGGGAAGAAAGGATGGAAAGATTAGATCCTGTTAAACAGCTTCACATTTACCATCAGATCTGTTAATTCTCTCAGGTACTAATACCAGATGTCAACACAAAGGGCTGTCCATGGAGCAGTGTCTCAGTTTCCAGGTGTCTGGTTTTCCACAGGCCCTTGGAGCGCAGCGGATTTGATTTTCGCTTTGAGGCTAGCAGCTTGCACCCATCTCCCCTTCCAGGAGCAGAAACGGGACCTCCCCTCATCCCGTCCCTGCAGCCTGTGCCTGCCTTTCTCAGTCCGGGCAGCCTTGCTGGTCGGTGACAGAGCCTCTGAGTAGCTTCTGCAAGGGAAGCCCGGGGCTCACTCTCTCCTCTGCCTTCCATTCCTTAAGTCCTCCACAGAGCACCACAGACCTGTGGGGCAGGGTCTTGAAGCTGCTGACCTCGCTTGAGAGACGCGATAGGCTCCAGGACCTTGACCTGCCTATGCCTGGCCACCTCGCCTGTAGTGGACCACAAGTGGGGCTACACATGTGAAATGCTGCCATAATGTGCACAGGGCTGAGTGGAATGGAAGCATTGTCCACTGCCTCTCCATGCGAGCAAGGACGTCACGATCCCCTCGAGAAGTGAGAGGAAGCTGATCGCCTTGTGACTGCGGACGGCCCCTGGAGGGAATGTGAATCCCGCCTCTCTGCTCTGGGCTTCCTGAGGCGATGCCTCAGGAACCTGCCTGCCACAGCTACGCTCTTCCCACACATGCTCGTCCCCACTGCCTCCATGGAGTCACACTGCACTGTTGTCAGGCTGCAAACGCTGCGCTACCAGAGATCTGATCAGCTGTTTTCTGCGGATCTTATTTCAGCCCCAGTTGATCTGACAGATAATTGTCTGTTTGGTAAACTTTTATGCTGGGGGAACGAATTCTTTGCATGTCTGGCTGGGCCTCCGCTGAGCTGCTGGAGACTGTTCACCTGCCTGGCCTGTTTGTTTCTCCTGCAGCCGAGAAAGGCAAAGTATTGGCAAATAATGCCTTCCTAACACCAGGGGTTTCCAGGAACCATATTTCTATTTGCTTTCTCTGATGAATTACAGTGAGCCATGTAACATGGACCTCCCAAAGCCTGCCTGGAAAGTTAGCTATGAGTTTTTTGGTGAGCACAGAAATAACTGGGGCTTGGGCCATTTCCAGCAAAACCAGTAACGCCATCCTATCTACTGACCAACTATCTACTCTCTATGCTTACCTTTGGCCGGCCAACGTCAGCATGCACAATTCTCAGCACGGAAGAACTTGTTTACTCTTTAGTTCAAAAATGAATCATTCAAGGCCAGAGCGAAAGTCAGATTAGGGGAACCGGGGATGAAGGAGGCATCACTGCTTGTTTTATAAACAGTAGGTTATACAAATGCAACCATGGCCCTGGGGGAGGCTCAGCTGGTTGTGGTGTCATCCCATTGACCCAAAAGGTTGCGGGTTCGATCCCTGGTCAGGACACAAACCTAGGCTGTGGATTCCATCCCCGGTCAGAGCAAGTATGGGAGACAACCGATTGATGTCTCTCTCTCAATCTCTCTCTCTCTCTGTCCCATCCTCTCTCTAAAAATCAATAAACATATTCTCAGGTGAGGATTTAAAAATGCAGTCATGTGCCGAAACCGGTTTGGGTCAGTGGATAGAGCATCAGCCTGCGGACTGAAAGGTCCCAGGTTCGACTCCGGTCAAGGGCATGTACCTTGGTTGCGGGCACATCCCCAGTGGGGAGTGTGCAGGAGGCAGCTGATCGATGTTTCTTTCTCATTGATGTTTCTAACTCTCTATCTCTCTCCCTTCCTCTCTGTAAAAAATCAATAAAAACATTTTTTAAAAAATGCAGCCATGCACAGCACAATTCTCTTCAGTACCTTCTGCCCGAGAACGAGGCTCTTAGAAGACAAGATGGTGAACCCGTCTCCTGGCCCATCTTCAGAGGTGGAATTCGAAGCCCCTTCTTTATCGCTGTCCTTTGGTTTGGACTGTGGGTAGAAATCAGAGGAGCAGGTGGGCAGTCATTCGAGAAAAAGCCCGAAGTGGCTACAAAAAGCCCTTCCCATGGCCACCACCGTGGGCACGGAAGGCAGTGGTTAGTGTCTGTTCTGTTCTTGATGGAGGGAAGCAAAGGGGAGCGATATCAGGACAAGAAAAGGGTGATGCCCAAAATACGAAGTGCTCCAGGGTTCAGGTGCTCCTGTAGTTCTCACTCAAGCCCGCACACAGCTGTGTGATTCTTGCTCTTCTCACGATGACAAGCACCGGAACCCGGGAGGGTCATTCTAACACACGGCTCCACCCCTGGTCCCGGGTTTCCCTGGGCACCGAGGCAGGCAGGGAGCGCTTACACGACCTCCGTGTGTATTGAAGGTCTGGGGAGGGGAGCTGAAGGCCTCTGATGCTGCGCTGGCCCACAGGGCGTCCCTGACTGTGGAAACGTCCTGTGTCTGTGCTGCTCAGGGCAACGGAGCCCGTAGCTTGTGCAACCGAGAAAACACTTTTAAATCTGATTTAAGTAAGTTAAGCTCAATCGGGAGGAGCCGCACGTGGAGAGCAGGTGCCTGAAAGCAGTTGCCTGGGCAGCACCTGAAAGCATTACTCTGCAAACGGCATCTCTGGCTGTAGCTGCTCAGCCTGTCAGGTTATCCGCCGCACCTGACACCCCATCGGCTGGCCCTTGGGGCCTCTCTAGGCTAAGGTGACCAGATGTCCCGATTTTTAACAATTTGTCCCGCATCCCGAGGCGTTTTAAAAAAGTCCCGATTTTTGGAAAGAAATCTTCAAAAAATCGGGACTTTTTTTTTTTTTTTTTTTTTAAATATATATTTTTTATTGATTTTTTTACAGAGAGGAAGGGAGAGAGAGAGTTAGAAACATCGATGAGGCCGAAGCCGGTTTGGCTCAGTGGTAGAGTGTCGGTCTGCGGACTGAAAGGTCCCAGGTTCGATTCCGGTCAAGGGTATGTACATTGGTTGTGGGCACATCCCCAGTAGGGGGTGCGCAAGAGGCAGCTGGTCGATGTTTCTCTCTCATCGACGTTTCTAGCTCTCTATTTCTCTCCCTTCCTCTCTGTAAAAAAATCAATAAAATATATTAAAAAAAAAAAAAAAAAACATCGATGAGAGAGAAACATCAATCAGCTGCCTCTTGCACGCCCCCTACTGGGGACGTGCCTGCAACCAAGGTACATGCCCTTGACTGGAATCGAACCCGGGACCCTTCAGTCCGCAGGCTGACGCTCTATCCACTGAGCCAAACCGGTTTCGGCAAATCGGGACTTTTTTTTTAAATGCCATCGGACACGGGACAAATTGTTAAAAATTGGGACTGTCCTGCCAAAAGCGGGATGTCTGGTCACCTTAGTTATGGGGGCAGAGGCAGGGATCTGGAACCATGAGAACCACCCAGGCTTTGGAAACCTCTGGGAGACCCCGCCCGATGACTGGAGTTCGTGCTTGGCATTGTCTCCCAGCACCACGCTGTGGAGTCCCCGTTTTTTGGAGACGTGGCTACACCTCCGTCTTTGTCGGTCCAACCTTCCTCCTGTTCAGAGAGCCCCTGGCGCTCAGACGCAGCCTGGCTCACCTTTTTGGACGCCCGTGGCTTGGCAGCCTTGGATTTCTTGCCCCCCTTCTTGCCGGACGTGGCCTTCCTTCCTCTCTTCTCGGGGGGCGGGGAGAGGATGGTTTCCGACTTGCCTTTGGTCCCCCGCTTTTTGGCCAGCAGCTCGGGATGGATTCTGGGCAGTACGCCCCCGCTGGCAATGGTCACTCCTTTCAGCAGCTGGAGAGAGAAACGCGTCGGTTCAGACCACCAGGAACTCGCTGACTCTGGATCGAGCACAGTCCCCACTGTTGGCAAAACAAGGTTAGGCCTGGCCTTGGTTGCCCCCGAGGTGCATAACACACAGTCTAATCGGCTTTTCCCGTTTCTCTAGCAGAGCATGTCCGGAGGCACCAAGGCCCCCTGTGACCTTGTGCAGAAAACACAACAAGCAAAGCAAAATGAAAGGGCTCAGAGGCTGACCCCGGCCCTGTTGCCGAGGGCTCTGGAATTCCAGACATAACAGAGGATAAGGAGCCTCACACACGGGGAGCGCAGCCTGACAAAACCAAGTTCAAAGGTCAAAGCTGGGGCCAGGCCCAGCAGACCAGTGGTCTCCGCACTCCTTTGAGGAAAAGAAGGTCTGGCCAGACCCAGAATATATAAGAGGCAATTTTATTTTGAAGCTGAAGGATATGCTAGCAGAACTGATTCTTCTCTTTTATGATCTAAAGCAGTGTTTCCCAAACTTCTCTCACGATGAGGATCAGCTGGTGGAGTTGTTAAAATACAGATTCCTGAATCCCAACTAAGAAGTGCTAAACTAGAATTTTTGGGAGCATATAGGTAAAATTGTATACTTAACTAGTGCTCTAAGCTTAGATTGTAAGTATACAATTTTACATATATGTTCCCAAAAATTCTAGTTTAGCACTATTTTTTTAAAAAATATATTTTTATTGATTTGTTACAGAGAGGAAGGGAGAGAGATAGAGAGCTAGAAACGTCGATGAGAGAGAAACACCGACCAGCTACCTCTTGTACACCCCCTATCGGGGATGTGCCCACAACCAAAATACATGTCCCTGACCGGAATCGAACCTGGGACCTTTCAGTCCACAGACCGACGCTCTACCGCTGAGCCAAACCGGTTTTGGTGTAGTTTAGCACTTCTTAGTTGGGATTCAGGAATCTGTATTTTAACAACTCCACCAGGTAATCCTCTTCATGAGAGAAGTTTGGGAAACACTGATCTAAAAGATCTCTTTTGGTGTAAATGGGACTGGGAACTACAGCAGGAATGACTGCAGCGGGCTGTGTTCCATACGGTCGTGCGTTTGACAAACCCAATCGGGGGCACGTGGCCGTGGGCAGCGGTACCTGATTGAGCTCCTCATCGTTGGCCACGGCCAGCAGGATGTGTCTCGGGGCTATCCGCGCCTTCTTGTTGTCCCTCGCAGCATTGCCGGCCAATTCCAGGATCTCCGCTGAAATCACAAGGGGGAGTTAATACAATCAGAGTGGGGTCTGAGCTTCCAGAAGCTTTTCCTTGGGAATGGTCTTGGAGTTTGACCACTTGGATTCACTTGTGATTTTTAAGTCTGGGCCTGGAAAGAAATCCAGAAAGCTGAAAAGAATTCAGATCCTAGACAAGTAAGGTATTTTAAATATTTTTTATCAATTTTATTTATTTATTTATTTATTTATTTTACAGAGAGAAAGAGGGATAGAGAGTTAGAAACACTGATGAGAGAGAAACATCGACCAGCTGCCTCCTGCACACCCCCCACTGGGGATGTGCCCACAACCAAGGTACATGCCCTTGACCGGAATCGAACCTGGGACCTTTTAGTCCTCAGGCTGAGGCTGTATCCACTGAGCCACACAGTTTCAGCTAAGTAAGGTATTTTAGCAAGACCTGACACATGATCCTGTGACGAAGTCTTCTAGTTGTCCCTTGACATTAATTCCTCCCCATCCTCCTTGGCATATGGATCTGATTTTATTTTATTTTTTGTGAGCCTATATCCATGGGAAGGAATGAAGACAGTTTTTCCCATCCTCCCTTGTGGATAAGTGTGATCATGTGACTAAGTCCTGGCCAGTGAAAGGCAAGCAGTGGTGTTGTATGGTACCCCTTCCTTTCCTACTGCTGGACTGGGGATGTGATGGCTGGGGTTTGACCATGAAGAAGCTGTGGACGATGGAGTAACACACAGGAGGAACTGAGGTGTCTTAGGGCTGTGGAGCTTCCTTACCACCCTGGGCTGTGTTCTGTAGACTTTTTGTTTTGTTTTGTATGAGAGAGAAATAAATGCTGTTTAAACCCTAGCATGGGACCTGAGCTGCTTTCAGCCTACTGACGACAGGGCCTCTCTGAAGAGAACAGTGATGGAGGTGAAGTCTGTCTTTGGTACCCAGGGGGACCCCTTCCACAATCCCCTTTGCTGCTTCACTTGATGCCCGGGTCCCTCTTGTCCTAAAGCAGTGTTTCCCAAACTTCCCTCATGATGAGAGTCACCCGGTGGAGCTGTTAAACTACAGATTCCCGAATCCCAACTAAGAAGCGCTAACCTAGAATGTTTGGGAACATATAGGTAAAATTGTATACTTAACTAGTGCTCTAAGCTTAGACTGTAAGTATACAATTTTACCTATATGTTCCCAAACATTCTAGGTTAGCGCTTCTTAGTTGGGATTCGGGACTCTGTAGTTTAACAGCTCCACCGGGTGACTCTCATCATGAGGGAAGTTTGGGAAACACTGTCCTAAGGGGAAGTGGCGGGAAGAACCCCCTTACACTGCGGGATGAGGAAATGCTCAACCGAGAGGTGCCTTCCTACGGGGAGACCTACGAGATCTGCCCAGGAAGGGATGTGGGGCCCAGGGGTTTCCTCACACCCCTCAGAGGCCTAAGCATGTGTCACACGGTAAACGTGAAAGAACGGACAGAGAGGAATTTTCCTAACACTACTTCACCGGCTACCAAATTTTTGAGTCAAGTTAAAAAAATAATCTATAGAATTGTTTTATACTATCTGTATGCTTCCTCCTTTCTTCTCTTATTTTGTTACTTTTCCTTCTTCCTCAATGTTAGGACATTCTGCTAAATGAAACTTGTCTCGTCTAGCCCGGCTAGCTCAGTCGGTAGAGCATGAGACTCTTAAATGAAACTTGTCTGCTTTTAAAAGTCTGAATGAGCCTATAAAGGAAAATTCCTTCCCTTAGAAAGCTAACGACAATATGCCATTAAATGGTTTCACTAATATGTGGTGGAGGGGGGAGTGTACGTATATGCATGTGTGCATACATTTGTGAGGTGTTTGCACAGGCGTGTGTGTGTGTGTGTGTGTGTGTGTGTGTGTGTGTGTTGGGGATGTGCTGGTATAATGGCATAAATATCAATATTAAATCCTAAAATTAACAGGGGATTCTGTATGTCTTTCTAATCAACCTAATTTCAAATAAAATAGCACATGAAATTGCCATCACTTATAAAATATATGGCAATAAAATAAAAACTTGGCATAAGTATGCCATATTAATTAAGCAAATGTAATTAACAAAAATTACAATAAAATAATCATTAGAGTTAAATATTTATATGGCATTTCCATAATGAAAAGTGCTAAATCACTGCAAATTCATCTCATTGCATCCCTTCCAGGTTATTAAGCAATGAATATTGTGTTTACCAACTATTCATTTATACTGTAGTCATGTTTTCTGAATCAAAGATTGAGGAGGCACTGTAGTTTGAGAAATATAAGCATATTTGTAGAGACAATGGGACAGAGAGTTTGAAATTAATGCCATATTGGATAATCTGCTTTGCCGCATTCGGGCTGCTGCCCAACCCTTTCTTTATTTAAAAAAGTGTACCCATCCAAAAAAAAAAAAAAAATGCAGTCTTAAAGCTTTCACTAATAGGCTTGCTGGCCCAGCCGGTGTTGCTCAGTGGTTGAGCGTTGACTCATGAACCAGGAAGTCACAATTTGATTCCCCATCAGGGCACAGGTCCAGGCTGTGGACTTGATCTCCAGTAGGATGCGTGCAGGAGGCAGCCAATCAATGATTCTCATCATTGATGTCTCTCTCCCCCACCCCCTCTCCCTTCCCCTTCCTCTCTCTGAAATCAGTAAAAACATTAAAACAAACAAACAAACAAAAAAACAGACCTGCAGTATGACTCTAGGTGAAAACATGCAGCTTCCCACTGTCCTGCCTTGCTCATCTCGGGGGCCCCATGCCTGGGAAGAAGGTGCATCCACTCACCCTCCTTTCTAGGTGGGTGTAGGGGCCGAGGAGCCTCCCCATTTTAAGCTTCTGAGGAATCAGATTTAATTGAGCATCTTGGCCCATCACTCTCCCGCCTGTGTCACCTGCATCCAGAGGAAGGAGTTAAGCATCCTCCCCAGTGCATGAACGTAGTCGTCAGCAGGGGAAGCAGTGCTAATGGGAAACCCTCCATGCTCAGAGCCTGTAGAAGCCCCTGCAGGTCAGGTCAGGTTCGGCCGGACAGACAGATGCACAGACGTGAGGCTCACCGATGGGGAATCTCCCAGAATTAAATGCGGCTCAGGAGAGAGTGGCCTCAGGGACGAAGCCGGTACAAGGCGAGGCTCGCATGAGACTCAGCTCCCAGACTAGCCCTTCCATAGCCCGCCCTGGAGAGCAATCCTGATCCTGTGCTCTAGTGAGAAAGCAGAGGGAGAGCTTTCTCTTTTTAACGTTTCTTTAAAGAGGAAAACTGAAGGACGCAAACCAGAAAATCGAGACCGACGAGTTCTTCGTTGAATGTTTCATCGGAACATTCCTTGCGACGGAGATGCCACCATTTAAATGTGTGAAATGACATTAATCATTATTAATGTTTTCAAATGCTGTCCCGACAAGATGCATTCATGTGGATTATAAAAGGAGCATTATCATTAAATATTTACAAGGCATTTCCATAATGAAAAGTGCTCCATCCCTGCAAACTCATTCTCACATCGTTTCCACGTGACAGTTGCTACTGTTGAGTGACTTTATTGACCTTGGGAACACAAGTCTCCGTCTCTGGGCCATCGGTAGGAAAACTGGACTTGTGTGGCTCACACGTGTTTCACTGGACATTCTGTGGGGAGATCACTATTCCCTTAAGCGGTGGAGACTTCCCTGGAGGTTTATAGACTTCCATAGCGAACCTCTAACTTAGGGGTGTCGAACTCAATCAGAGAAGGGGCCAAAATCTAAAATCCAGCCTAAATCGCGGGCCGAATGGTTTACTGAACAGTCATAAACTGTCATTGTGATGGAAACGCAGCGGAGTGCAGTGATGACAGCGCGGTGCGGGCCACATTGCAAGGCCTGGCGGGACGGATTTGGCCCGCGGGCCTTGTGTTTGACACATGTGCTCTAACTTCTTGGAAGTCTGATTTCCAGCAATAGTAACCATCTGGCATGCACCTCAGTATCTGGTAGTAAAAAATAAAAAATTCTATATCCCAAAGGGATGTTGCATATTATTTTGGGAGGGCTTGTGTCCTCTAATTTGGACATTACTGCATCAACACGGGATGTCCCGGCCCCAGCAGGTGGAAAATAGCACATTAAATGGAGGGTTGGAACAGAGGGCACCAAGTGGCCATCTCCTTCTCCAGCCCCATTTTGCTTGCACACCTGCCCACTATATGACGGCACCTCTGGGCTCTGTCTGGGCCCTTTGCTCTGCTCAGGCCCTGAGTCTTTTGGGGGAACCCCATCCCCTCGTGGCTCCAGCTTCCACCTCCCTTCCCGTGTGGTCAGATCTGGATCTCTAGCTCTGCTGAGATGTCACCTGGGCCTCCTCACCTGGGTGTTCCACAGGCAAATCAAACTCCCCCGTCCTATCACTTCCTTCCCAAACCTGCTCCCCGCCTCGCCCCTGGGACTGACAGCTCCGCACTCTCCTCCTCTTCGCCCCCGTCCCCCACCCGCTTCATCAAGCTCACGCCTTTGCCCCTCTCTCCACGCCTGTTGCCATTGTCCGAGTTAAGGCTCTCTTCTCTCCCGGCCCAGCAAACAGTAGTGACTGTCGAAACGGTTTCCCTGTCCCCGTTTTGTCCTCCTCCAGATCCATGCCAACAAGGCCGTCGCTAGGCCAAAGGTGCCTTTGTGCAAATTAGAAAAAGATGCCTCTTCCTCAAGACGCCGGACTGCCCTGATTTCCTCTGAGCAAGACCCTTTACCGCCACCTGCTGGAAATGCTCATGATAAACATGGTTATTTGAGGTCCACGATGCGAAAGGCACTCCCTTAAATGTGTGTCTTTGCACAGCGTACAACCTGCACAGCCACGTGTGTGGCTCCGGCTGCCAAAGCGAGCTCTTCAGAGCACAGATGCAGTGAGTAAAAATCCTTAGATAAAAACGCTCGGCGTTAAGTGGATAGACCCAATTATCCGGAAATGATGTGTAAATGATGGGTTTCTACGTGACACAATGATTTCAGGAGGTGCCCTGAAATTCAACCCTGCTTTAAGACTCATTTGTCCTCTCAGTTGGCAATATAAAACATTCTCTCAACATAAAAAAGGTAAATCATGCATTCTCAATAGCTCATCGTGGTCCTCCGTGGCCTGCACCACCCACCTCCCCCATCTCATTCCACCCCCAACTGCCGGCCCTGCCATCCTCAGCTTGCTCCTGGAACACAGGACTTCCTCTAGTGTCTGGAATCGCTGCAATACTCCCTCTAAACTTCATCCTTGTTCCTCCCAACCTGGCAATCTCCCCCAGCTCAACCCCTCCCGTCTGAACCTGGTAACTCCTACCAATTCCCAACCCTGCTGCCCATCAGAATCATTTGGGGGAGCTTTGAAAAACCCTGATGCCCAGAACATACCCCAGAATTTCTGGGGGTGAGACCAAGGCATCAGGAAAAGAGAGGGATAGAAACACTGATGAAAGAGGAAACATCATTGATCGGCTGCCTCCTGCATGTGCTCCACTGGGAATGGAGCCCGCAACCCGGGCCTGTGCCCTGACCGGGAATCGAACCCTGACCTCCTGGTGCACAGGTCTGTGCTCAACCACTGAGCACCACCAGCCAGGCTCACCTTCTCCACTTGCCTGAGGAAGATGCTGGATGCTGGGACTGGTGGAGAGAGGGGGCCGGATGGATATTAATGGCGATGCCTTCCTTCTAGGCGCTCATCCTCTCTTCTAGCTCATGTGCAACTCAGGAGCAAACCCTGTTGGCGTTGCCTTCAGCATATATCAGGGCTCTACTCTTCCTCGGTGCCTTCACCGCCCTCTCTGGATCTCTGCTGTAGCCTTCCAGCTGCTTCTCCTGCTTCCACCCTGCGCCCCTCCCCAGGATCAGATCACTTCCGCCTCCGCTCCAAACAATGCAGGGTCGCTATTGCTATTAGGTCTAGTAATAATTAATGTCGTTTTCTAATACTTTTTTAAATCGAATTTATTTAAACAATACAACAAAATTTAATCAACAATATAGTAGCCGTTGTTTTCTACTACTTGTGCCCAACGCTCAGGAAGCATTTTAATCCCTCTGTTGTAAAATTCTTGTGATTTTTTATGCAAAAAATTCGGTCAATGCATTTTTGAGGCATTCTTCATTATTAAATTTTTTTCCAAGAAGAAAGTTTTGCAAAGAACGAAACAAATGGTAATCGGAAGGGGCAATATCAGGAGAATATGCAGGTTGAGGGAGAACTTCCCATTCCAACTGGCGCAGTTTTTCAGCAGTGATTCTTGCAGTATGCGGTCGTGCGTTATCGTGGTGAAGAATTACGCCCGTCCGATTAATCAGCGCGGGTTCTTTTTCTCTTAAAGCTTGGGCTAACCTTTCCAATTGGGCACTATACACTGCACTTGTAATGGTTTGGTTAGATGGTAAAAGTTCATAATGAAGAATTCCTTTAAAATTCCACCAAACACACAACATCACTTTTTTCACATGCAAGTCAGGTTTTGGCGTGGGCTGCGGAGCCTCATTTTTGTCCAACCATTGAGGCCACCTTTTCAAATTAACATACAGCACCCATTTTTCATCTCCGGTAACAATTTGCTCTAAAAACGGCAAACGGTTTTGACGAGAGAGGAGCGAACTGCAAATTGTGACTCTTTGATTACGGTTGTTGTCGGTCAACTCATGAGGAACCCATTTTCCAAACTTTTGGACTTTGCCAAGTGCACACAATTGATTGGAAATTGTTTTTTGTGAACAATTTAAAGTTGTCGCAAGCTCTTGTTGGGTAATTTGAGGATTTTGCACCAAAAGAGCTTGAAGAGCTTCTTGATCAAAATTGGACACACGGCCTCGACCACTCTTGTCATCTAACGAAAAATTTCCCTCGCGAAATTTCTCAAAACAACGCTGGCATTTTCTGGCGCTAACTGCATCTTGACCAAGAGCACTACAGATGTTTTTTGCAGCCTCACTTGCTTTTCTTCCTAATTGGAACTCATAAAGCATGCAGTGCCGAATATGCTCTTCATCCGCCATCTTCTTAGCCCTAGTTTTGCAACAAAAACCAAACCAAACACAAACTTTTTCAAGCAAAACTTGTTAATTGCACTTCACACGTTCTGTAGATACCACGTGTTTGAAGGTTATGTCAATACAAGTCAACGCCAAGCAAGATTTTAAACGAATGTTAAAAAACGACATTAATTATTACTAGACCCCTAGCTCTTATCCCCGCCCCGCCCACCCCTCCACCCCCAACCCCTTAACCCCAGCCCCTTCTCCCTTGGGCCTCATTTACAGTCCACGCCCCACTGCTGTTCCCCCAACACTCCCAGCACCTGCCTTCCCTCAGGCTAGGGCACCCACCCTCAGACACCTGCAGGCCCACTCCCGGTTTCCTTCACATGGGCCTTGCTCTATTTTACAACTCCCCTCCCCCTCTCTTTCCTGGAGCCCCCTGTCGGTAGAATCCACTTTATTTGTCCCCCAGCACTTCGCACGCCCGATGACGCAGCACACCCTCCGCTTGTTTGCTTGCTTCTCCCTCGGGAATGCATTCTGCTGGAGGCAGGGATCCCTGTCTGTCCTGGTCGAGGCTCCATCCTCAGCACCTACCACACCTGGCCCACAGCAGGTGCTCCATAGCTGTTTGCGAGAACTCCGCTGAGAAACAGGACGTTCTGCTGTGGGAGGTGCTGTAGGTCCTTACAGACCTGCTGGCTCAGAGTCACAGTGCGATGGCTGTGGAGGCCGGGGGCTCTAACCCAAGACCCGTGAGAAATCCCAGCCACGGTCCAATCCTACCACCAGAGAGCAGCCTGAGGACTTAGTGTGCGTACTGACGTGCAGATGCTTAACAGATATTTGTCAAATAAATAAACGGGGAAATGTAAGCTTTTATCTGAACCAAAGATGCACAGAGATGCCCGTGACTCAAAAGGCCAAATTGTGTTTTATTAGTGCGGAGTGTGACTTCCGCCAGGCGGAGACGTAGAAGGTATTTAATGGCTGTGATCACACACACCCTGTAATGGTCAGGGTGGGGCAGCAGAAAGAGCACAGCGTGGGACGGGAGGGTCTCGGGGAAGCCCAGCTCCTGCGGGGAGGCAGACTGTGGGATCTCTGGGTCACCCACATGGTCTGCAGTCTCAGTGGGTGACAGGAGTTTTACAGGTTGTTTTCAAGTTTCATTCATTCATCTTTCTTGAAGCCGGCGCCCCAGACCCAGCAGGGCTTCCCATCAGGTTTCTGGGTCCTACACCAGACCCAGGGAATCAGGCCACCCGCAGGGGTGCAGCCAGGAACTTGCATTCTGAACAACTATCCACCCGAGCCTTAGGCCTGCTGCTGACTGGCTTCCACCTTGCTCCTCCGAGTGAGTGTCCCTGAGCCAGCAGCGTGGGCATCACCTGGGAGCTCGTGAGGAAGGCGGAGTCTCAGGCGCCACCCGGCCCTTGTCAACAAGATCCCCAGGTGATCCCACCTTGAACAGCACTGCTCTATCTCACTGGATCCAATCCACTTTCAGAGCCCTCCATCCCCTCTCCCACTTCCTGGAGCAGTGGTCGGCAGACTCATTAGTCAACAGAGCCAAATATCAACAGTACAATTGAAATTTCTTTTGAGAGCCGAAAACCGACTTCTGCGCATGGGCCACGAAGTTTCAATCGAGAGAGAATTATTGATCAGTTGCCTCCTGCACGTCCTCTACTGGGGATCAAGTCTGCATGTGCCCTGACTGGAATGGAACTGTGACATCCCGGTTAACCCACTGAGCCATACTGGCCTGGCTATATAAATATTTTAAAGCATCCTTGAAATTGTGAAGTATTTTTTTCTGTTTACGACACAAGAGTACAAGAACAAAAACGAAGTAAAAAGTTCCCAAATACATAAAGAACCCATACAGTGAAAATCTCACCTCTTGGTAAAAAGTAATTTAACCACCAATATGGTACACGATTTCCTCAGGCCCCCCCGTAGACAGAGGGCCACCTCTGTAAGGGGCAGGACTAGAACGCTGGCCTTGTGGAACCCACTGAAGACGCCTCTGATGCTCTGGTCAGCATTCTTTGTGGACACAGTCCCAGCCCATACCCCGGAGAACCGATGTGCAATGCGGACTGTGTGTACAGTGAAGACCTCCTTTTATGAAACAAATAGCAACCCCATCTCCCGGGACTGTCCTCCTGTAGCTTCTCTTCTTTGGGAACCTAGATTCTCACACATTGCATACACCTACGCAAGACACACCTTTTTCTTTTCTTTCTTTAAAATAGAATATATATATATATATATATATATATATATATATATATATATATATATATATTTATTTATTTTATTTTATTTTATTTTATTTTATTTTATTTTTTTTCAGAGAGGGAGAAGGATAAAGAGCCAGAAACATCCATGAGAGAGAAACATCAATCAGCTGCCTCTTGCACACCCCCTACTGGGGATGTGCCCGCAGCCAAAGTACATGCCCTTGATGGGAATCAAACCTGGGACCCTTGAGTCCGCAGGTGGACGCTCTATCCACTGAGCCAAACCACACCTTTGTCAGGGCTGGGCTGGAAAAGCCCCTTCCCTGTGGGCTCTCCTCCTCCTGTGCTGCTCCCCTGTCCGTCTGAAGCCCCCTTCCCTCCCCCGAAGCCGGCAGGCGCGGATGAGCGGGCCGCGGCTTGCGGGCCGGGCGGGGCACCGGCCGGGGCACCTTACCGGCCAGGTACTCGATGACGGCCGCCATGTACACGGGCGCGCCCACGCTGATCCGGTACTTGAAGGTCCCTTTCTTCAGGTAGCGCATCAGCCGCCCCACCGGGAAGATGACCCCGGCCCTGGCCGACCGGGACAGCTTGGACATCTTCTTCTTCCCGCTCCGGCCCGACATCTTGCCTCAGTTTCCCTCTCAGCTTGCGGATACGGTGGCTTCCTGGCGCTGGCACAGTGCTGGAAGGAAAGACAGCAGGGTGAGGAAGGGCGGCTGGAGGACATCTGGGAACAGTGACGGGCCTGACGGCCCAGGGAGGCTGGGACCGGCGGCCACCCCAGGGTGCTGCGGGCAGGAAGTGGGGCGTGGGGACTTGGCAGGCCATGGGCAGGCCCACCCACAAACCCCTCCCCACCCCATCAAGGCAGCCCGACCTCAATACGAGAGGCCAAAGACTGTCACTGGAGAGAGGCCATGGCTGGTGAGTCCCCGAATAATGGTTTCCAACGATGTCCACCCAGAACCATTTGCGATGTGCAGCCTTATCTGGCAGAAGGGTCCCTGCAGATGTGACTAAGTTCAGGGTCCTGCGCTGGGAGCTTACTCTGGATTGTCTGGGCAGCTCTCATGTAATTGCAAAGGTCCTTCCAAGAGGGAGGCAGGAGGTGAGTGAGGAGTGATAGGAAGGAAGGAAACCAATTCCCCCTCAGAGCCTCCAGAAAGGACCAGACCTGCTGATGCCATTTTATTTTAATGTTTTAAAACGTTTTTTTAAAATTGATTTCAGAGAGGAAGGGAGAGGGAGAGAGAGATAGGAACATCAGTGATGAGAAAGAATCATTGACCAGCTGCCTCCTGCGGGCCCCCTTCTGGGGATTGAGCTGGCAACCCGGGCATGTGCCCTTGACCGGAATTGAACCTGGGACCCTTCAGTCCACAGGCCAATGCTCTATCCCAGTGATAGGCAAACTGCAGCTCGTGAGCCACATGCGGCTCGCAAGCAGAGGTTTGCCGCTCTGTTGACTAATGAGTTTGCCGACCACTGCTCTATCCAGTAAGACAAGCCAGCTGAGGCTGCTGGCGCCATTTTAGCCCAGAATAAGGACTTCTGACCTCCAGACTGTGCGTCAGTCTGTCTTGTTTTAAGCCACTAAACTTGAGGGTGTTTTTTTTTTTTTTTTTTTTTTAATAGCAGCAATAACAAAACTAACACATTCCTCTTTTCTCTGATTTGCTTCTGCCTGTTTTAATACATAGTACTTTATTCATACCCTTGACCTGCAGTTCAGGGCTGATTTCCAATAATTCTTAAAAACCGAAACATGCCAGAAGAGGCCACTTTATCGAATATGTTAATGCGTAGTAACCAAACACTGCAAATTAAAAGCGAGAATGCAGCCGGAGCTTCTGCTCCTTGGAATTTGGGGGAGAAACTTCAGAATCAGCAGGAAGAGGTGACTTCAATACCATGTCCCCAGAGACATGTGAATTTGAGGGAGTTATTTCTGTGTGAAGATAAAACAATTCTATGCTTTTGAAAGAGTCTCTAAATGGCTAAAAGTAACTCAGAGAATTGTAACAGAGCTTACAATTCTCTAAGTTAGTTATTGTTGGTCAAGGGAGTACCATGACCAAACAATAGAGTATAATTCAGAATAAATAAGAGCAAATTATAAAGGGCAGGCAAGCAGGACCAAAGGAAAGAAGCCAGAAAACTGTAGGAAATGTTTCAATGAATCAAAGCACTCTGCCTCAAAGGCAGCACCATTCTCTGTGGCCATTTCGTTTGGGGATGGACAATGAGAAAGTCAAAGCGAAGCTGAAACTGGTTCTACCTGTGGAAGCAGCCATTTCAAATTCTGGTTAGGCCAGCTTACCAACAGCCAAGGTGGCAACAAAAAGGCCTAAGAACGTGGCTAAGCCTACAGTATGATGGAAGAAAGCTCTAAATGAATGCATGGCTAGTGTGAAAGATAAGGACTTATTTAATCAGGATGGAAGAATGAACACAGTGTTCAGTTTTCTAAAGTATCTGATTGCTCTGTTATGACTGAGGAGTTTTATATGAAACTATGGAATTAGTAACAAACCCCATTCCGAACACCCTCCTATCCCCGAGTTAAAGGATGCGAGTTGGAGGCATATTATCACCTACCTCACATACATTAATTTCAAATGCATCTGTGTATTTACTAGGCTCCCCCTCGATGTGTCATTTTGCCGCCAAAAGATGTAGGTAGGTATTCATTCTAAGAAGAGCAGCCAGTCTTAGAATATTATCCCTTTCACAGTAAGACGCAGCAATAAAATAACATCACCATTTTTAGAGCTACATTGTCCGTGCTTCAGCTGTTCAAGGCTGCTAACTCTCAGAAGTAGACTTATAGACCAGAGGCCCAGTGCACAAGATTCATGTACTTGGGTGTGTGTGGGGGGTCCCTCAGCCTGGCCTGCACCCTCTCGCAGTCTGGGAGCCCTTGGGGAATGTCCGACTGATGGCTTAGGCCTGCTCCCCTAAACCATCAGTCGGAGATCCTTAGCATTGCTGTGAAGGCAGGAGAGGCTCCTGCCACCACTGTGCTCACCAGCCATGAGCCTGGCTTCTGGTTGAGCAGCGCTCCTCCTGTAGGAACACACTGACCACCAACAGGCAGCTTCTTCATTGTGCGTCTGCCCCCTAATGGTCAGTGCGTGTCATAGCGACAGGTGGTTCTGCTGTTCCATTGATTTGTATTATTAATCTTTTTTAAAAAAAATATATTTTTTAATTGATATTTTTTACAGAGAGGAAGGGAGAGGAATAGAAAGCTAGAAATGTCGATGAGAGAGAAACATCGACCAGCTGCCTTCTGCTGGGGATGTGCCCGCAACCAAGGTTCATGTTCTTGACAAGAATCAACCTGGGACCTTTCAGTCCACAGGCTGACACGCTCTATCCACTGAGTCAAACCAGTTTCAGCTGCATATTAGTCTTAGATAGGATGTCCTCTCGTGGAGGAAGCAATCAATTGCATATTGGGATTTTAACCATCACTTTCTGTTATGGAAACTCAGGTCAGGCATCAGTAAACGTTCTGGGTACCTGTTGTTGGTCATCACTGTCCCAGGCCAGGGGACACATACAGCAACGTGGAGTGGCCCCTGCCCTCAGAGGGACTCCTGGGCGGTGGCTCCCGGTGCAGTGGCAAGAGCCAGGACTGGGCCCCGGAACCCCAGAGCGTGGCCCCGCTTCTACAGAACCAGCTATGTGGGCGCTGGGTGTCACCGGTGCGGGCCTGCGTCCTTTGTACAACAGGACAGTGACTTACAGGTACTGAAGGTCCTTCTGGCCGTAAACATTCCTATCTTTTTCAGCTTTCAAATGGTTCTGGAAAAGAAGTGCAGTCCCTTTAAAAAATGAGTTCTAGACCAGTTGGCGTGGCTTGGTGGTTGAGCATGGAATTGTGAACTAGATCATGGTTTGAATTATGAACTAGATTATGGTTTGATGCCTGGTTTGGGCTGCATGCCCTGGTTTCAGGCTCAATCCCCAGTAGGGGGTGTGCAGGAGGCAGCAGATCTATGATTCTCTCTTCATCACTGATGCTTCTCTCTCTCCCTCTCCCTTCCTCTTAAAACACACACACAACAACAACAACAAAAACCCCACCAAACAAAAAAACACCACCACCAACAAAAAAACAAGAAAGAAAGAAATGAACTCTGGAACGTAAAGAGACTGGGCATGTTCGTAACAATGTGTTAGTCCTGGTGGCTCCCCAAGCCAATTCCGTGCCCTTTCTAGTTGCTGGTAAGCGGAGGGAGGGGGAGGATTAGTGGGCCTGGTTGCCGAGGAACCACCTAAAAAGTGCCTCCCAGGTGGACATGCCTGTGGAAGGTGCGTGCTGGCTGTCACGTCTCTCCTACCCACAGGGAACCATGCACGGAGGACAAAGGCCACAGGGGGAGGCCCTCCCTCCTTCTTCATTCTTCTCAAATGGAAGTGGCCAGAGAATGAGTAGGCGAGCAGGATAAGGCGAGGGGCTTTCCCAATGCAGCCAAGAGGAGTCACACATGTCCTTAACAACTGGGAATTGGTACCAGCAACAAAAGAACAGGTTGTGACATCAGGGGATGGATGCCAGAAACACTCACGACTATAAAACAGTCAAGTAAGGAAAACGGGGGTTAGATCAAATAGACGAACGTATCAGCTGGATATTTAGAACATGCAGGGGTCACCCCAGGCACAGCATGTATAACTAGACTCTTTCCTTGGCTCCCAGACTCTCCTCTGTGTTAAGGCCTTAACATCGAGTAAAGATGCAGCTCCATTTGAAGTCTAAGTGTGACACTGACTGTTGCATGTGCTTTTAATGCATTAATTTTTTTAAAAAAATTTATTTTAGAGAGGGAAGGGAAGAGGAAGAGAGAGAAACACTGAGTGGCTGCCTCCTGCATGCCCCCTTCTGGGGATCGAGCCTGAAACCGGTGCATGTGCTGTGACCAGAATCAAACTGGCAACCTTTTGGTGCATGGGACGACACGCAACCAACTGAGCCACACCAGCCGAGGCTGTTGTATGTAGTTTAATAGACCTGGAGAGTTCTTTGTACCCAGGAGCCCATCTTTTCAGACATTGTGCTGAGTTAAAGCAACCAGGTACTTAACTCCTAGGCCCCAAGGGCTGGGAGGTCCCCGTAATTGTAAAAACTGGACCACATAACGGAATTTCTGGGGAAGCAGGGAGGAGGCTGGAGGGAGCTGACATATCCTACCTACCGATCCCACAGACGGAAGGAAGCGTTTGCCTCCTCGCCTCCTGGAACTTCTTGAGAGAAGACCCTGCTTTCTGAAGACCATCCCACCCCCTCCCCTCAGCCTGAGCTGGACTCTGCCTAGAGTTGCAAGAAATTATAATCTCTGGCTTCCTTCTTTTCTTTTTTTTTTCAAATATATTTTATTGATTTTTCACAGAGAGGAGGAGAGAGGGACAGAGAGTTAGAAACATCGATGAGAAAGAATCATCGATTAGCTGCCTCTTGCACACCCCCTACTGGGGATGTGCCCGCAACCACGGTACGTGTCCTTGACCGGAATCGAACCCGGGACCCCTCAGTCCACAGGCCGACGCTCCACCACTGAGCCAAACAGGTCCCGGCTGGCTTCTTTCTTTTCTAAGCCACTCTTTCCCCGGACTCTATCCTTTCTTGGGAGGTCATGTGACAAAAACTTGATCTGCTTCCTGTGAATTTGAATC